TGGGGGGACATCGGGGACATCGGGGACGCTAGGGTGTCCTGCTGCACGTGGCACTGTGCCACTTGGTGAGGGACATTAGGAGGGACACTGGGGACATCAGGAGCAGCTGGTGTCCCTCAGGTGCTTGTGGACACCTGCAGCTGTCCCCCAGGTACCCCTGGGTGTCCCCAGGTGACACCCAGGTGACACTCAGGTGTCTCAGGTGGCACCCAGGTGACACCCAGGTGTCCCGCAGGTGCCGCACATGCTGTCGGTGCGCTCAGGGAACCCCTGGGTGCTGCTGGCGCTGCAGAGCGCGGGGCAGGTGGCACTCGGGTGGCACTCAGGTGACACTCAGGTGTCTCAGGTGGCACCCAGGTGACACCCAGGTGTCCCGCAGGTGCCGCACATGCTGTCGGTGCGCTCGGGGAGCCCATGGGTGCTGCTGGCGCTGCAGAGCACGGGGCTGCTCGGGGGCTGGGCGCTGCTGCTGCTGCTGGCCCTGGGCGAGCAGGAGAGCGAGCACTGACCCGCCTGACACCACACCTGGACGCACCTGGCACCACCCCCGGCACCTGGTACCGCACCTGGACACACCTGGCACCGCAACTTGACACTCCTGGACACACCTGGAGAGACCTGGAGACACCTGGACACACCTGGAGACAATTGGAACACACCTGGACACACCTGGGACACACCTGGACACACCTGGAGATACCTGGAGACGATTGGAACACACCTGGGCACACCTGGGGACACACCTGGGACACACCTGGACACACCTCCAGACACCTGGAGACACTTAAACACACCTGGAGACACCTGGACACAATTGGAACACACCTGGGCACACCTGGGGACACACCTGGGACACACCTGGACACACCTGAGGACACACGTGGACACACCTGGGCACACCTGGGACACACCTGGACACACCTGGGGACACACCTGGGCCACACCTGGACACACCTGAGGACACACGTGGACACACCTGGGCACACCTGGGACACCACCCCCACAACCCCCCCAGGGGTGGGGCAATAAAGGCGGAAATAGAGCTGGAGCCTTGGATTTGGGCTTGGGAGAGACTGGGAGGGACTGGGAGGGACTGGGATGGACTGGGAGGTTACTGGGAGGGACTGGGAGGGACTGGGATGGACTGGGAGGTTACTGGGAGGGACTGGGAGGAACTGGGAGGGACTGGGATGGGACTGGGATGGACTGGGAGGGACTGGGATGGAACTGGGAGGGACTGGGAGGGTACTGGGATGGACTGGGATGGACTGGGAGGGACTGGGGGGGAACTGGGAGGGACTGGGAGGTTACTGGGAGGAACTGGGAGGGACTGGGAGGGACTGGGATGGACTGGGATGGACTGGGAGGTTACTGGGAGGGACTGGGAGGGAACTGGGAGGGACTGGGAGGGTACTGGGATGGACTGGGATGGACTGGGATGGACTGGAAGGGACTGGGATGGACTGGGAGGGATTGGAAGGGACTGGGATGGAGTGGGGGGTTACTGGGAGGGACTGGGAGGAACTGGGATGGGATTGAAGGGTACTGCATGGATTGGGATGGACTGGGATATACTGGGAGGTACTGGGATGGACTGGGAGGGTACTGGGATGGACTGGGAGGGACTGGGAGGGACTGGGGAGGTACTGGGATATACTGGGAGGGACTGGGATGGACTGGGATAGACTGGGAGTGAACTGGAGGGTACTGGGATGGACTGGGAGGGACTGGGATGAAGTGGGATAGACTGGGGGCTTACTGGGAGGAACTGGGATGGACTGGGAACTTTTTGGGGGGCTCTAGGCTCTCTATGGGGTGTGACCCTTTTTATGGTGGGCTATGGGGTCCAGCCCCTTTTGGGGGCTCCGGGCTCCTTCCAGCCCCTTTTGGGGGGTGCCCAGGACCCCCAGATCCCCCCGGATTTCCCCCAGATCCCCGCAGGGGGGTTCGGGGGGTCCCCGGGGGGAGCCCCGGCCCCGCTGGAGGACCGCGCGTCTCTATGGCCGCCGCGGGAGCGGCCGGAGCGGCCCCGGCAGGGCCGCCCAGCGCCACTTCCGGCCTCACTTCCGGCCTCACTTCCGGCGCCACTTCCGGCGCCACTTCCGGCATCTCGGCGGCGGCGGGAGCGGGACGGGCCCGCGTGGGAGCGGTGAGGGAGAAGCGCCAGTTCGGGGGGATTTTGGGGGGTTT